CCCCCCGCAACCCGCTTCTGTTCTGAAATTTGATTTGTCCTTTTCATATGTGTTCATTTTTTTAATTGTATCCTTTGGTATATATGGTTGTGACAATTTTCTTCCACTATTTGATCTGAGGAACTGGGTCTGGCCCACGAAAGCTCATCACCTATTAAACCATCTTGTTAGTTTTTAAAGTGCTACATAGTCCTGTTTTTATTTACTGGATGAATGTTCTGCTTTCGTTTTAAGCTCTACATGGAAGGAAATTAAAATTCAATTAAAATGCACATCCAAATTATTTTATTTAAATAAAGTTACCTTAAATATTCTAATACATAAGACAAAATTATGAAAAAGTTTCTCAAAACGTATTTTTCATTTAAAACTGGTTTATTAGACAAGGGAAGTATCATGTATAGCTAGTGTATGTCCTTCAAGACTTTAGAACTAGTCGATTTCATTTTCTCACACCTAACGTTTATTCAGAGCTACCCAGTGCTGCCTATGTCTGGGCTGGGGGAGGAGGGGTAGGTGTGTGTGCAGACCTCCTGCCAGCATGCCCTGGGCTAGCCTGAGGTTGAGAGGGGGCAGCTTGGGATCTGGGGAGGGGGTCCAGCCTGGAGTTTGGGGAGAGGGACAAGCTTGGGTTTGGAGCTAGGAAGAGGGAACTGGCCCAGAGCTGGGGGTTGAGGGAAGAGTTGGGGCCATGCAGGCTTCCCCCAGGCTGGTGTTCCCTGAGAGCATTCTGGAGAGTGAGGTCTCTCTCACCTGAAAGTCTCTCTCACCACCACCTCCCTTGCATTCCATGGGGTAGAGAGGGGGTCCATGCAGGTTTTGCCTGCTGACACTCTCTGGGCCCAGGCCAGAAGGGAGTGGGGGCTGTGTACGCCTTCCCCCTTGGCATTCCTCAGGGCAGGGGAACAGCACAGGCTTCCTCCCTCAACATTCTCCAGGGCAGGGTGTTGGGGAGGTGAAAGGGAGTCTGGCAGAGAGAAGGGGGACAGCTGAGAGGTGGAGGGAGCCATGCTGGTCTCCCTCACCAGTGCTCTCTGGTTCAGTGGGGAAGGGGAAGAACAGTGTGGGGCACATAGCCTGGGCCACAGAGGCTACGCTGGGCAGCCCAGTGGTACAGGTGGCAGGGGAGGGAGGCGCTGGTGGATCCTGTGGGAGGTAGCCAGGGCTGGGCTGGTCCTCCGGTGGTGCTCCTAGGAAGGAGCCAGCAGTGTGGTGTGGGGTGCAGGAGAGGAGTTTTAGCCAGAGAGGTGCTTACCAGTGGCAGGCAAGATGGTGGAGCCCCATCCCCAGTTGGCCACTCCTTTGGTGGTGTAGCTGCACCCAATGTTCATTCTGCAGGATAGCTTTCCCCTGTGTTTGCTGCCTCAAGTGTGAGTCTGAGGATCCCTCCTGTCTCTCCCCCTTCCTTTCCATGCTATGGAAAACTATCAAATTCTAGGCATCCTGTTTTCCTGGCACAATCAAACCCTAACCTTGCTCTAAGTTATGACTAAAGTAAGCTGTATGCCAAATTTGGTGGTCCTAGCTCTTATGATTTTGGAAGAGTTCTTGAATGAATGGACCCGCAGATAGACAGACAGACAAATACAGGCCTCTTATATATATATATATATATATATATATATATATACACACACACGCACACACACACAGAGAAAGAGAGAGAACGAGTCGCTTTCATGCTTTTACATCTCCCAGTTGGTTTCTTAACTTTGAATTAAATAAATCATCCATTTGATCTAGCAGAATTAATTGAAATGAAGGGAACATTCTTTCTGAACATTCTTAAGAGCAGTGCTAGGCAAAATATGGTTCAGGGGCCTAATCCGGCCTGCTAAGTCACCAGATCCAGCCTACAGACTACCTTACTGGGATCCTCAGGCATGCAGCTGCCACCGTTTAAAGTGCAGTCTGTACAGCTTTCTGCTCTGCAGGGAGCAGGAGGCTTCATGTGATCTCCCGGCCCCCATTCCAATCCAATCCTCAGCTCCTATAGGCTGGAA